GTGTGTGTGTGTGTGTGTGTGTGTGTGTGTGTGTGGGGGGGGGGGGGGGTTAAGGCTGCGCCTTTCCAGCCACGCGAAGCGTGGAAGCAAACCAAATGGCATAGACACACCCGCGTGGCGTCCGTATGACTGAGAGTTGGGGCGGAGACAGTCGGAGGAACAGTGAGAGGGCACAAGCTTGAAAAGTGAGAAAAATAAAATAAAGAATAAAAACTAAAACTGTTGAACACAAGGGCATCAGTGCAGAAAAGCCGTGCGAAAGGAACAACAGCCTTTGTTCCTTTCGCGTTTGTATGATTTCTGCCCAGCTGCGCTGCCAGCAGCTCTCCTACTGCTCCGCACCCATTTCGTCCCCACACATATTCCACTTTATTTTCTGCTTTGTCTGTGCTTTCACTTCACCTTGTTTTTTTTTTCCTAGTTTTACCTTTGCCCTCCGTGAGGGAAGTCGTCGTTCGTCGTTATTCCTCGCGTGGGTGGTGCTGTGCCGTTGGGCATGCGCTGCTCCCGGCCTACGCTTTCAATTGCCGCGTGGTCAGGCGGGCTGACGATGTGCAGCGACGCTGTGGCGCAGGTGGTGCAGAGAAAGGAGGGTAAAAGTGGGGCTTTGACGCCGGTGCGGTGCCTCGTGGCGACGCGTGCCATTTGCCGAGGGGAAAGGATCTGCGTTGTGCCGGAGTCACACATTCTGCACGGCGCAAGTGCCACCCAGTTGTTGCAACGGGCAGCAGCGGAGCAGTGCCTTCCCAGTTACGCCACAGCGCTGCGGTGCCTGGCGACGGTTGTGGGGGATCCATCCATTCTATCGACACGCGATGCCTTGCTGGTCCTCCTTGCCGTGTATGTGCTGCGATGGGGTCGTCTGAAGCACCCTCTTACGGCGTGGTCCGCATGCCTCCCACCGCGGGTGCCGCCGATGGGTGTACTACTGCAGCAAATTCAGCATCATCGCGCAGGGTCGGCGTCCTTTGAGCCGCTGCAGCGACGCCTCCGCATCGGATACCAGACTGTAGCTTTGCGACATGGTGACGAAGACGCAGCAGAACTCTCCACGGAGTTGATGCTGCAGGCAGCTGAACACTACGGCATCGAGCACGTCGGAAAGCCGCAGACTGAAGTGTTAGCATCGCAGGCGTTAATGACATCATTTTACCGCGGCACTCGTCACCCGCTGACTCAGCGGCAGCATGACGCTTACGCCGCGCGGCAGCGTCACGTCGTACCTGCGGAAACACAGCAACTGCTGCAGCTGGAGGAGTCGCTCCACAGCAACGTGCTTAAGCCGCTCCTCGCATGTCTGTCGTCTCAGGGCAGTGAGTGCCGCACCGGTGAGTTTGGCAGTGGCGCTCTTCTTGAGGACCATGATGCCGAGGCAACAATGGCCAAGATGGAACAGTTGCGGTTGTCACATTTCATGGTGCGCTCCCGCGCGGTAAATTTGCATCCGCAGCGCTATGACCAGCCTCAAATTGCACTGGTGCCGTTTCTTGACATGCTCAACCACTCAGTGAGGGATGCCAATGTGACGTACCAGCACAGTCCCGGTGTGGGCGTCGTTGCCGTCGCATCACGGCCAATTAGGGCCTCAGAAGAGTTGACTCTCAATTATGGCGATTACAGACAACGGGGCTGCCTCTTTTCTCGCTCTCAACAGCGCAGCGTGGACAGGGAAGAGACGCGGGCGACCATGCGCCGCATCGAATCACGTCAACTACGGGAGTGGGATGATGCCTCGGGTGATGATGCCGACGAGGACCTTGTGGTGGATGCCCCATTTGGCCATGCCATGCAACAACAAAAGCAGCAGCAGCAGTGCTGCTATCACACGTCCTGTGAGGAGAGTAGCGAGGAGGCACGGACGGAGGCGACGTGGTTATGGCGATTTGGCTTCCCGCGTGGCGATGACGAGAAGGCGTACGTCGCGTCACGGCTGTGGAGCAAGAGTCTGCGGCGACGCATCGCCCAGCTGACAGACGTGCGCCGGAAAGGGCGGCCTGGTGAGTTTGTCATTGGGGTGCCGGAGGGGCTGCAGCGCCTGCGTGAGCAACGTGAAAAGCTGGAGCGTGAGCGCTTTGGTGGTTCCACGGTGTTTCCCCCGCAGAACGCGTAACCACCACGGGATATGCAAAAGGGCGGGCGGTGTTAGGCATCCATGCACGCACACGTATTCCTCCTCTCTGTTTCCTTTTGTTTTGTCTTTGCACCACTTTTTTTTTCTTCTTCTATGGACGCCGCACATTACAACTGCAATAGAAGTGAAAGGATAAATAATGTTTGTTTTGTTTGTGTGCGGTGGTGGTTGGGTCTTTGCTTTGCTCCTGCATGTGCCGCATTTGTCACCGGTAGCTGAGTAGGAGGAAAATAGGAGAACTAGAAAAGAGGGGGAGTCAGCTGCCTCACGCATTAAGCCACCGAGGTCTATGGACTGCTGGACGCGCTCCGTCAAGAGGAACTCGCTGGAGAGTATTGGTGTTGCGTATGATGAGCGTGACACCGGCAGCGGCGAACTGACGAGGTACGTTCAGGTGGCAACGCCCGAAAGGGCCCTGCCGTCTAACCAAGACCGTGACCGGAACAGTTTTACAGACGACTTAACGACAACTGACACAACCGGCTTTACAAGCTTGTCCCGGCAGGTAAGCGGTCTCACCATGCACCAGCGCAACGGGGGGTCGCTTGGCTTCACGTTCAGTGGAACGCCCGCCGATGTGGTTTGTTTTCGTTCATGTATCTCCTATCACATGCATCGTCCCAGCAGAAAGGTGGTGGCAGCGGAGCAAAGCGGCCCGTTTGCCGCGGATGTGCTGTGCATCATACTACTCTACATCGCGGTGGATATGCGGGAAATTCTGCAGGTGAGTCATACTTGTCGGTACTGGCGGTTTTACGCAAACTATGCGCCACACTGGACGTACTACCGTCGTCTTGACTGGAGCAAACGCATCAAGGACTTGCCGAATTACATCCGCAGGGTGGTGGTGAAGCCAAAGATCGTTACGCAAGAGGAGTACTTTCGCGAGAGAAGCAAGGTGCAGGCGGAGCAGCGACGCAATGAGATTATGAGCACGGCGCTGCATGTGCGTTGGTGCGTCGCCGTTGCCGTTCTCTGCGCCGCCGCGTGTGCGACAAACTTTGCCGTGGCGTATTTCTTAGGCTTCCTCCCGACGGTATCACGCAGCGATACCACGCTCGGCGGTGTGATGTTTGCGCTGATGGTCACGATGGTCGTGCTGGAGGTTACTATTGTGATTATTCCCCTGGGTGGGGCCAGGTCACCGTCGGAGAAGCAGAACATGATGCGGCTTCTTTCCTGGGGACTGTTCCTGCTTCTTACCGCCTGCATCTTTGGCACAGTCTCCGCGCTTGCGATGAGGCGGGTGCAGAGCAGCGGCGATGTTATCGACGGCACTGTGCTTGACTTCACCATGGACTCGGAGTGCTGCGCCATCGACGTGCACAGCGACCCCTCCTTCGCGCTTCTTCCAGCGCAACTAACTGACATACGCTGGCGCCCAATCACAATGGACGACAGCGAGAGGGTGTTCCGCCCGTACTGTATTTCACACAACAATAATACCATGTGTTACGTGTTTCTCTACTTTGATGCATATTACGAATCGAAGGTGTTTAACAACGCCAGCGCCGTAGCGACGAAAGACATCGGCACACGTACGGCGTTGGGTTTTGACCCTATTGGTAACGGTACGGGTGGCTGGTGTGCCGCGGTGGATCGGCCGCAAGTCATTGCCCTCATAGAGTCTGTCTACGTTCGAGTCAGGGAGCAGTTGAATCGGATTTATTCGGATGCGGCGTACACCTCCCCCACCCTTTGTCCCAATACGACGAGCAGCATTAGCTACCTATGTAGCATGGACCACGCACGTGTGAAGATGGAAGACACGCCTGGCTCAACGCAAATGTGGTATAAATATGGACAATCGTGGCGGAGGTATTATATCCCTCTCTTAACGGATATCACTGAGTCGCGAGAAACCTTTAGGGAGGAGCACAATCACTATTTACACTACGCCTACATCTGTTATATTATTGCATTCATTCTTTGGTTTGTGATGTTGATCGCGCAGTGCTTAGCACAGAGGCAGGCAGTTGTGGTGCTGGGTGTGGCAACCACTGTCACCCTCGCGCTGATGAACCCCATCATAATGATACTCGCAGGTGTTCTTTGCGTGAATATGTCGGACCGCTATTTTATATGTAATGCATCTACGGGTGGGTCGTTGTTGGGTGGCGGTGTGTTTATTACTGCCTTTCTTGTTGCGATTTATGTTTGCTTTTTTTGAGTGCAAAAGTAACAGATGAGTGGGGGAGTTTGAGAGGGGTTTTAAGGCATGTTTGTATGTGTGCTCCTTTGCCTCGTGTTTTTTTTTTATTATTACCGCTGGTTTTGACCCCTCTTGAGACTCTGAGAAGTAGCGAGCGAGGCGGTGGGTGGGTCCGTGTGTGTGTGTAGTTGCATCACGCTGTGCAGCTGCGTGAAATAAATACATCTATTTCCCTTTGAATCATTATTTTTTGCCTTTTTTTTTTGTGTCTGCTTTTTCATCTTCCTTGTGTATGTTCTGTTGCTGCTGCTGTGATGGAAGCCCGATGTTCGCGAGGGACGAGGTCAATGCCCTCTTTAACGACGCGTCGAGGGCTCTGCAGCGCTCGCAGCTCCTACTGGAGGAGCGGTCCCGCGGGGCGCCACTGGAAAGGCCATCCGTGATGCCAAATTCGCCGAGTTTTGAGGCGGCCCTGCGTGCCTTGCGTGAGCTTATGGAGTTCGCTGCCTTTCTTGACGCCTCCGAAAAGGTGGGCGAGCGGCTACTGGAGGAGTCTCGGCAGCCATCGCCCGCGATGGCGAAGAAGCGTCGCAACGGCAGCAGGTGCCCACTCCTGCGGCGAGTTGTGGACGGACTTGCAGGCGTTCAGGGCATGTGGGCTGGTGATAACAGAGCCGCGGAGGGTTTGTGGTCAGGAGGTGCTCTGCTCGCATCGCATTTGGTGCTTGCTGGGCTTTTTGCCGACTGGCAGCACGGTGCGCCCAGGGCAGCGCAGCAACGCATCGCATTGCTGCAGCAAATGATTGAATTGGACGGGGTGCCGCAGCTGGAGGAATGCAGGAAGGATGACCTTCTGCAGCTGCTGAGTGAGGTCAAGGCTGGCATGCCCGGCGAGGTGGTGGACGAGTTGGATGCTCAAATTATGCGCGTCGCTTGTAGTCTCACCGGCGAGTGGAATATGCCAAGCACGCCCGCTCAATTGTCCTCGTTGCTGCTGTTTCCAACAGTAATACCCTTCATTGTTCAGAACGCCTCTACGTCACTGGCCGTGGACTACATTATCACCCCACTGGAGCGTGCTGCGACCGGTCTGTTGCCGATGTATCTTTCGGAGAGTCCTGCAGAATTTGTTCAGGCATGCAGACAGCTTGTGCAGCATGTTATGCTTGTGGGGATGTACGCGGCGGTTGGACTCAAGCTCTCCACCGTAGGCGGCGTGCAGCGTGTGGTAACATTTACAAAGCGGCTATTTGACGCGCTCCTCATGCCTGTCGAAGGCGCTTTCACCGCAGCACTGCCTCGTGCCGGTATGACAGTCGATGTGCACCAAGGGCTCGCCGGACCGTTGTGCCATTGGGTGCGCTCGTGGGCAAAGCAGGTGGAAGGTAAAAGGGGGGCGGAAACTACGGCGGCGGCGTCAGGCGCACGGAAGTTGCTGCCAGTGTGGTGCACTGCGAGTTTTCGCGCTCTTATGGTGGTGGAGGCGCTCGCACATGCAGAGCTTGGCGTCGTTAGCGGACGTGGCAATGCAACGGCGCAGCAAAAGAAGTATTATTCCATGCTCCAGCAATCAAACGGGAGAGTCACCACCGCCATTCTCTCCGCCGTCACGGAGGACAGGCAGTTGCTATTTGAGGAGACGACGACGCGATCGGCGCAGGGGCACAAGGTGTACCGCATTCATGAAGGGGGCACCGGACCGACGGTCTACGTGTACCTCGATCACGGCATCGTTTACATGAAGGTTGGACGTGAGCGCCTCTTCCGCCGCGCCAAGAGCGTGGAAGACGTGTTCAGCGTCCTTGCCGACTCCTCGCAACTCTAATGCGCCGCCACGCACCCATCACACTGCACGTACCCCCCTCTGCTTTGTTCACCCTCTCCCCCTCCCTCTACATGCATGGCTCAGTGTAAATATTTGCCCAGGCGGATTTATTATATATATTTTTTTGGTGTTTGTTTTTTTGTGATTCTTTTCTGTGTGGAAATAGATTTTAGAGAGGGCGGGAGAGGAGACGGTGTGTGGGTCTCTGTGCGGAACACCGGTTTTCCTGATGCAATGCGGGCTGCGCTGAAGGATAAGACGAAGAATGAGGAGGAGAAAGGGAGGGATGAGGCGCAGCCCTTTCCTTTGGCGCTTCCTTTATCGATCATACAGCAGCCATTTGTGCGGGCCATCATTGTGGAGAACGAGGCGATGCTCCAGGAAATTACCCACCTCCGTCGTGTCCGCCAAGACCACGCGGAAGAGTGTCGTCAACATGTGCGTACCGCAGAAACGGCGGCGCGACAGCTGCTGACCATGTTGGAGGCAGAAGGGCGACTCGAGTTGTGCGTGGCGTGGCAGAAGCGTCTCATGGGTGGACTGTGCGAGACAATGGAGGAGTTAGAGGCGCTGCGGGAGGAAAACGCCGCGCTGCAGCAGGTTATTGTGAAGGTGCAGAAGGATCTCGGGGAGCCAGAAATGCATTCATCTCTCCTTTGGTCGGATGGGGACGTGACACCGGCGCGTGTCATCACGGCTGTCGATCGTGGAAGCAAACTATACGCAAATTATACTATTCCGCTTACCAAAAGAGCGGATTCCAACTCACCACGGGTGTCGTTTCGACTCTCACGGAAGCGTGGGTGCGACAGTGGCGATAGCTGGCTTTTCTCTCCCGCAGGGGTGACCGCGGTAGAGCGAAGTTTAAGCCAGCAACCCACATAACGTGGCAGAGACTGTTAGATTGACGTATTTGTTTGAGAGACACCGCTTACCTGTTTTACCTTTCTGCATGCCTGAAAGATCGCAGCGGGAGAGGGTGCGGGTGTCTCGTGTTGCTTCCCTTTACTTTCGCGTAGACCATATATATATATATATATATATATATATATATATTCATGTATGCTACTTGTGCTCGCGTCAACCCTCTGCGCTTGCGGAGACGGCGGTGGAGGTAGCACGTATTTGTGTGTGTTGTCGCCGCTAAGCATTTGCATGACTTTGACCTGCTTCTTTTTTTTTTTTCTGTTTTGACTCCTCTGCCCATACACACACAAGAAACAAGAGCAACGGGGAAGCCTTCAAAATTCAATGGACTGTAGGAGAGACAGGAAAGGTGCAAACGAAGATCGGCTGGGACGCACATGTTCTTTGGTAAGAGCGGAGCGGGGGCGATTGGTGCCACGCCGAAGGAGAAGGCGCTGCCTTTTGTGGGCATTGTTTTCCATAGTATTGTGTACATTTTTATTTACCCTCCTGATGCTGCTGCAACGCAACTCGTCGGAGAAGATGCAGGCGACGCACATTGAGCGACGCGGGCTTTTTACGTTGGCTGGGAATGTGGACAAAAAGGCGGGTCAACATATTCTTCTGCAGCAGAGCGTTTTTCTTCTCTCCGCAGGGCGGGGCGGACTGCGTCGGGTGTTAAGCCAAGTGCACCAGAACTCCGCGTTGGGCAGCTCGTACGTCATCAGCGGGTTTCTGACACGCTTGTATAATGCATCGTCCGTGGAGAAGAGTGCAGGTCGCATGGACCCGCAGCAGTTGCTTGCGTACTATAATCAGACAGGCACATGCAGGGGAGCACGGGTCCGATTCTTCGACGGTGTCGTTGATTTGGACCGGAAAGCTTTGCATCAGGTTGTGCAGAGCAATTATGTGGATGAGTTGCTGCTGCTGGTATTCAATGACTGGGACCACAATGCCGACAAATACATTGCCGTCGTGTACAGCCTTGCGAGGCTTCTGCAGACCACGAAGAGCAGTTCGGTACCCAACAGTTTCCCGCAAGATGTGCACATACTTCTAAACAGTACTAATATCAGCGTCTCACAGTTTGTGTCGCCTCGTCCTGGCGCCTTTGCAGGCGCGTTAAATCTGGATGAAGCACGGTGGGAGGGGGAGGATGGGCCGAGTCGTATTTTTTTTACTTGGCCCCAAGAGGCGTCGTCAGGAAAGCCGGTACAAGTGATTGCCGCAATGCGAAGGGCGGACGTTAACAGTAATAACATTTTTGGCACCAACACGCTATCGCTGATACTTCAGTCGCCTGGTATATTCTTCTGTTCAAAGCAAATGACACATGTCGCAGCTTACGAAGGCCCCCCAGACGTGAAGGAGCTGGCGAAGTTTGTCGCCGCTAACACCATCTCGCATTTTCAGCTGAACTCGGTGGAAGCACTACGCTCGGTGCTTCGGCAGTTTGATACGCTGGCGCTTATTGTGTACAGGGGAGAAGGCGGCAGTGCGCCGTCCGCTGCCTCGCCACTGCGGGACATTTTGTTTAATAACACGTTGGACACCCGCTTCCGGCTCAAGGCCGCAATGCCAACTTTTTTACTGCAGGAGGAACAGCTGGCCGGGTCCGACAACGTAAAGTGGGATGAGCTGAGGGTGGTCGTCTTGCAGCGACTGGAGCGGAAGAGTCTGCAGTTCATGGCAACACTCTTCAAGGATGAGCTGCCGGTTGACTTCGTCGAGCAGCTCAATCTGTTGCCTGCCTCAAGCGAGGCGCGGCTCATTGTGCTTGACAGGGCGCAGCTGACCCCCGAGGGTGGCCGAGGGGCGAGTATTGCCGATTTCTCCGCCAGTGTTCTCTACTTCCCCGCACCCAGCGAAAGGACGGACCATCACATGTGGAGCAGCACTATCGGGGCGCGACTTGTCGACTTTGTGGAGAGCGACGATGTGCACCAGTCATCACCTGTGCCTGTCACTGGAAAGAATCTGCAGAAAGTGTATGAGCGACACTTCCGCGTGCTCCTGCAGGATCAGGCGGCAGACATGCGACAGCGTCCCTTCGCCGAAGATGCGGTTATCGGCTCGGTGCCCCCGCGTCCGAAGGGGCATGAACCGCGCCTGTTGGTTGTGGTGGTACTGCCCCCGGCCAACGCCAGGGGAAGCAATGCCTGTGAGAGGGCCGCCTTTCACGCAGCCCACGCCAGCCCTCGAGATGAAGGCATTCGCTTTGCAACCGCCGCCGTAGATGTGTCGTCGGATCTCGTGGAGGAACTGCGGTTTACGGTGTGGCGCCATCCAGAGAGAAAAGCGGCAACCATGTGTGAGATCTACATCTTCCACCCGGACGGCAAGGTTGATGCGCTGGACCTGGATCCGCGGGAGCTTCACTGGCCCAAGGACGGCTGGTTAAATCTTTTCCTCCGAGGCAGCCCGAAAGAGCACCGGGGTGCTCTTTCCATTTCGCACCCTTTACCAGACGAGTACTTCCTCGCACTGATAGAATTTTCCAAAAAGATGCGAGCCGTGAAGACCCCTGATCCGCATTCTGAGTTCCGCACCTCTCTCTATGGCACTGCTGACGGCTTTGCTCCGTGGTTCTTGTGGTTGCCTCCGCTCGAAGCAGTTCCACTTCTCGTTCACGTGCAGAAGAATAATCCAGCGGAGGGGGTGATGTCGCCGCAGTCAAAGGACACTACGGCCAGAGCAGCGGAGGTAACGCTTTTACTGCTGCATGATAGCTCCTGCGGGATGACTGTGAATCATTTGAAGGCGTTTCGGTTGCTTGCCAAGTGTCAAGAGTCGCACACACCCTTCGTGGGGCTTGTGCTGTTGGAGTACGACCTTGCTTCTGGCTTTTTAATGCCGGGGGGCAGCGGCTGGCGACCCGGCTTAAGCGGCAAGAACGGTGATCAGGCAGAGCATGCGGAGGTCTATTCGCGCCTCAAACCATTTCTGCAGGACTTCAAACGTCTGCACCCTCCACAACTCTTTGCAATAAACCGAACGCACGTGATAAGTACGATCGACACTTCCCTCTACTACGGCTCTTCTAGCGGTGTGGGGTGGATGGAGCTACACAACGGCTACATACGAAATCTTCTTCGTCTTGCGAGCCACGCGGACCGCCGGCTTGTCACCGATGCCCTTTCTACATGTGTGCGGCAGACCCTATTGCTGGAGGCGCAACGACGAGTTCAATACCGCGCTGCCACGCAGCACATATCTTAGGGAGGAGCATCTATTTTTATTACTTTATTTCTCCTTATCTTTGTGGGTGCGAAGACAAAAGTCAAGATGGGAAGAAGAAGGAGGGGGGAGGGGGGAATGCAAAAAAAGGTAGAATAATATATAAATATGCTGATATATATATATATATATATATATATATCGCGTGTAGGTATAATAAAGAGTACGGTGTGTGTATGTGTGTTTTTGATCCGCTTTTATCATTGAGTTATGCTTAGCATGGTTGTTGGGGAATGACGCGGAAGCACGTCTGGGCTTTTGTGCGAGTTTAAGTCGAGTTAATTCCCACCTTCTTTTGCAATCTGTTTGTTTTTGTTTTTTTTTTGTTTTTTTTTTTGTTTACGGTGGAAGGGTCTTCCGTGAACTGTATACTTACATATGGTCTGTGTGTGTGTGTGGTAGACAATTGAGCACACTTTTGTGTGTTTATGTGTCACCCGCATACATACCCGTTCGTTTGCAAGTAGAGGGGTTCATGCTTTCCCCTTTGCATTACTCTATACGCACAATCACACTTCTCTTTTTTTTTCCTTGTCTCACACACTGCATGGAACCTCCGCTGAAGCTGGGATGGACATTTGGAGAGCTTGGGGACCACGGCGTTTATACATGGTCTCTTGGCTTTGTTGATGTTCCTGTCTTTTGTGTGCGCGTGTGTATGTGTTCGTGCGTTAGTGAAAGGGCATCGTGCACCGTGGTCCCCAAGCATCTCTTTTTTTTTTTCTCGCTCTTCTTGCAGTCGATGAAAGCTGCCGGAATGAGTGATGGCGAAAACGATGATGTCATGAAAAATGTAATAACAAACGCCGTCGATGCAGCGTGTTCTGATGGGGTATTTACTTTGCTTTTTTTTTTTTTTTTTTGTCTGCTTCCAACGACCACAGTGGCGAGTAACAGGAATGGCGACAAAGAAGTCGGGGACGGGTGAGACTGAGTGGGACGTGAACACCCCCCCGGACTCGCCGTTCATTACGGACCCCGCCCTGGCGGAGGGGTTTTCCATCCCGATCGAGTACGTGCGGCGCATGGAGGAGGCGCAACGCCTGTACGCGGTCCACGACGCCGAGCAGCAGGCAGTGGCCTATGCATACAGGCGGGCCTCGTGGACTGTAGGGATTCAGTGTGGCTGGCTCGGCGTTGGTGTCTGGCTGACGGTGCGTGGGTATAGGTATGCCGACCCCGTCCAGTCATTCGTGAGTCGATTCACGTCAAACCGCGTTTTGTGCCGTGCCTTCACCCCTGTTGCGATGCTGGGGCTAACTATTACAATGCTGACTTCCTTGCAGCTGCCGTTTGACGTGCGTGCGGCGCTTGTGGCACGAAAAGCGTTGGAAGTGGAGGAGATGAGGAAGGTAGAGGCTCTGAAGGAGCGTGCAGCGGTGTTTCGGGAAGGCAGGGCAATAGTAGGCCGGTTGAAGGAGGAAGAACGTCGAGCATTTGAGACTGACATGGAAAAGGCGAAGAATCTATCGAAATGACCGGTGTTGTGTAACTGTTTTTGCTTTCCTCTGTTTTTCCATTGCTTTCAGACCTCGCTTGGTGCAGAGGAGGGGGGAGGCGAAGGAAGATGGTGATAGTACTTGTTGTTTGGTGTGCGGTACCTCTGTTTCTGTATGCTTCGAAAAATGTCAAGCGCGCACGTACACGTACACACACACACACACACACACACACACACACATGCACGTACATACGAATGTCTTGTTTTTTTTTTTTTTTACGGAAGGGAGCAGTGATTGCTAAAAGCAACGGTGAAACGGGAGAACGGGTGACCGTGAGCAGCCCGCACGGCATGGGAGTCGACGCGCGGCGTGCCAGCCCCACGGTGGTCGTGGTGCTTCTCGGGCTCTTCGCACTTGTCGGCACCGCAGAAGGGCACAGTTTTCCAGTAGAGCCAGTGGCTCCTTTGAGCCTTTTCAATGGCGAGTCCTACGCCGCCTCGACGTTTCTCTACTGGGCACAAGTCGTGAGTTCATTTGTGGAGATGATTCTTGACTCGGCGGAGCCACCGGTCTTGCTCGACAAGGTAAACCATTTGACACGTGCCAAGAAAAAGGGCACCGTGGCGAGAGAAATTTGGGCCCCGCGTAGCGCTATGGTAAAGCACGTACCTGAAGTTGAACCCTTTGCTGTGGCCCCCATGCCAATGTACTACGTACCACCACCAAAGGGAAAGTTGCCTCTACACACCTGCTGGTCCGGCTACCTGGCAGTTCCCTTCAACACCACTTTCTTGTGCTCAGGCACACCAAAGACGGCAACCCAGTACAACGCGATGACGGACTCCGAACGGGAGAAGTGCACCTACAATCGTGAGGTGGGAGAAGTCTGTCTCTGCCCAATCGGCACTGTTTGGGTGAAGAAACAGCTTGGCGAAAGCTGGGTGTGCATCCCACGACTACTTCTCGTTTCAACTCGTTTGGAGGATAAGTTTCTGTGCCAGGACCCTGATGGTGAGGCGCTTGGCCTCCGCAGCAGTCACAGCCCGAGTGACTTTTGCCTGCACGTCCAGCGGGACGAGACGCTTTCCCTTGACCTTAATGTGAGCTTCCGGTGGATGGAGAACGACGAGATTGCAAGTTTTCAGGCGTTGAAGGGCACCTTGCTGCTTTTTGGGAACCTACAGTACGATGAGATTTACATTACGGTGTGGCGGGGCGTGTTTGGCTTCCCCGACTTGCTGGCGCGTTCCTCCAAACTTTTTAAATTTGTTGTGAAGCCTGACCCGCTGAACCTGCATGCTTTTGGCGTCGTGGAGGGTCACCCGCTGCAGGAGGACGGTCACTTTGAGCACGTCGTGTACCCGTTCAGAGATATGGCGTTGCTGCAAGAAGGGCGGATGCATCAAACGCTGTCGGAAAGACATTTCATCAACAAGATCTTCAGTGGGAAGCGTAACTTTACCCTGCAACGAGTTGAGAGAAATTTGGGTCTGCTAAGTAGTGACTATGTCACTAACGACATGATGTACATGGAGATTGGTTTTTGTGGTTCCGCCCTCCCTTTAGGAGGCCGCCACGCGCGTGTATGGATCACGTTCGAAGAACTTCCGCCTGTGGCGGAGACGTACACGTACGACCAGCCGCTAAGCTCGCCGGTCATAGCAGGCATCGTCTTCGCCTGTGCAGTTGTCATGGGTGTCCTGGTGGCGGTGGGGTGGTATTGCTGCCATCGGCGATTGGAAGTCGATGATCGGCTGGTGATTGACGCCCAAGATGAGCAGAGCCAACGAAGGAAGAAGATGCAGTGAACAACCTTGGTTCATTTTATTTTGCCCCCGTTTTACCAGTCTCAAATGCATTTATACACTTCTGTTATCATTACTGTTGTTGTTTTTCCCTCGTTCTTTTTTTTTTTTTTTTTTTTTCTTGCTTGCGTTTGAGGCGTGCAATTTGCATACAGTACCTCATATATATACCAGCGTTTACACGGGCCCACGACGCACCTGCCGCATTGGCTTTCCTTTCGCCAACTGTGCATATAAGAGAGCATGCGAACTGGAGCGGCGCGGTGACACGTGTAACGGTATGTGCTGACCTTTACCTATCCTTATGTATCGATACTCGTCCTTGTCGGTGTGGTCTGTGTGACTGGCTCTGATCTTTGCATCTCCGTTTTTGGGCTTCTCGCTTGTAATGTGTCTGTGCCTCTCCGTGCCATGCTGCCTTGTTGTCGCGCTGCTGGTGTGCCTCCCACGCGCCTTATCTCCATTTCTTTTTCTCTCGATTTATTGCCTGCTGCTCGACTCCTGCACGTGGCACGCGAAGAACGTCACACGCAGAAGACACGCGAAAAAGAACAACAAAACGATCAATCGGAGACTATTTTTTTTTTCTTTAGGCATACGGCGCTTGGAGGGTAACTCACAGCAACAGCAACGGGAGAAGGGGGTGTGGCGTAAGGCACGACAACATCCTCTGAATCATTTTCTTTATTTTTCTATTCTCTGAGTTTCGGCTCGTGTAAGGTGCGTCTGAGTGGTATTCCACGAGACACCGAGACGCGTAACGAAGGAGAAGCAGCGGAAATAATTCACGGCAACGATGGACTACAAGGAGAGCTTTGACCTGGTGCTCCCGCAGTACCCACGGCGGGGAGTTCAGGAGGCTGAAAATCATCGTTCTGTGGCCGCACTGTACGAACTCGTTGAGAATGCCATCTCCACCGCGGAGAATTACGTGGCGTACACACAAGGACGGCTGGTCGCGCTCTCCGCCCGTGGCTCCGACCTTATGGCAGCCGCGACGGAAATGAAGGAGCGCTACAAGCATGAAGCTCCGTGTGGTTGGACGGAGGAGAAACTCATGCAGCACTGCAAGCAAGAGGTTACTGCAAAGGAAATGTCAGACATCATCTCGCGCCCGCCACTTGATGTGGCGGGGATTCGAAGCATCTTGCTCACTCTGCAAGAAGCCAAGACGGAGCTCCCACGTGGTCGTTTCCTGCTGATGCGGGATAATCTTTCTGCTTTGAAGCCGCACCAACCTTCCGATTTGACGCGTGATGTTGCCGACATCTGTGGGGCTTTGTACGAGATCCGGCACGTTGACCTTATGGCCGAGCTGCGCCGGGAGCTTTCGGAGCTCGACAAGGAGCGGCAAAAGGCGCAGAAGAAGCTTGATGAGGCCATCAGAGTACATGAATCTACACTGGCAAAGGGTGATGTGGTGGAGGTGGAGCGTGCTCACCGGCAGCTAATTGCCGCACGCTATGAGCTGGTGGATGCGTGTGCGAAACTGATGCGAGAGATCGTTGGAGATGACATGTCTACCCAAGAGAACAGCTTTGCTTCCGAGATGGACGCTCTGCAGCGAGACGCAGAAGAAGTCATTGGGCGGTTTAAGGATGCCCTCCATGATCGACGCCAGGCCCTCCGCGACGACCTTCGCAATTGTGATCAGAAGCGGATTGAGGAGGATGGAAACCACCAGAAGAGCACGGAGGCTTACAACACGAAGGAGAAGGAGATGGACGCACAACTCGGACAAATCGTACAACAGAAACAGAAGTTGGTGGAGGAGCTGCGTCAAAAGGCGCGTGAGTTGCAGGAACTGATGTTGAAGCAGAAGGAGATGGTCGAGACTCAGGTGAAGGCCAAGCGGGCTGAAGAGGAGCGTGTGACGGCATACAATGAGTTTGTCAGCATGGAGGAACAGCAAAAACATCGTCTGCTTCGTTGTCTCGACTACTTTGATCGGATCGAGCCAGTCATACCAGAGCTGCAGTCGTACGTGGATGAGATGATCGTCCGCATGCCACGGCAGAGTCTGCGCCAGACTCTCAACCAACTCAACGACACCGAGGCCGAGGCCTTTATGGACGCGTACGGAAAGTTCGTCTCATGCTGCGGTGAGCTGACGGTGAAGAAAATGCATCGTCTCGACACCCTGGAGCGGCAGGCCCGCCTTGTGGAGCACAACCGCAACTCTGCAATGGAGAGTCTTGATCCCAACATGAGCAACTACCGCGTGGAGCTGGAGGACCTTATCGAGCAGATGAAGGGGGTTTCTGGCGTGATCAACGCCCTCAACGCGACGCAAGACGCTGGAGAGCAGTTGTTTCAAAGCGTTGAAGAAGGTGTGCTGGCGAAGTATGGCCGCGCTGGCACCCCCTTCGTGCACCCACTGCAGGAGTATGGCATCAGGTCGGTGGAGGAGCGCGGCCGATTCGTTGACCGTTCCATGCGCTACGTCGAGGATGAGGAGCGGAAAGTGCTGGAAAAGAAGAATGTGCTGAACCGTATGCGGCAAGCCGTTGAAGAAGAAGAGGCTGCCACCGAATCTGCGCTGCGCAAACCGTCAGCCGCAGCTGAGTACTGAGTGAGGACAGTGTGAAATGCATGGAGGAAATCTTTTCAAACGCCGGGAATGGGAGATGCAGGGAGAGGGTGTTTGTCTTTGAGTCGCTTAAAACGTCTTACTTCTGCATTAAACACACGCGCGAGAGAGCGAAGGCTTCTTGGAATGGCGTAGTAATGTGTGGCCGCATGCAAAACAGCAAGGTGAGCAAACAAGATGTAGCGGGATGTATGTAAACCACAGTGACGAGCCACGAGTGTTTTTTTTTTTGTGAGGAAACCAGAGGCTGATTCCACTGCATGTAACAGAGGAGAAAGGAGGGAGGGAGGGAGGGGGAGAGAGAGAGAGAGAGAGAGAGAGAGAGAGAGAGAGGA